AGTCATTTAATGTTATTATTTTAACACATTACAATGGTAACTGTTTGTCTGATGATGGTTAGCAGGTCTCATCCCAATGTCCAAGTTAAAACATTTGTTGAAGGATCTCTAACTTATTAACCAACTAGTTTTTACCACTTATGTCTGTGATTTAATTCACTTTCATGAATAATGTTAGCCTAGACTCTAGTCACAAACATACCCATTATAACTGCTTAATCTATATTTTTAATCACCTTCTGCCTGTTACGTAGTCTGTGTTAATTCATTGTTAATTAGTGGAAGGACAAGTGGAACATGAGGCTAATTTAGCATAAATTAAATAGCTTAATTTATGCAAGTGTAATGTAACAGATTAAGTATTGAAAGTCATCAACATAGTTTTGGAAGCAACAGACACAGACGGAAAAAACGTAACGTTAGCTAAGTGGCCAGTGACTAATTAACGTTAGCTAAGTGACCAGTGAGTAATTAACGTTAGCTAATAACCAGGTTAGCCAGACGTCTCAGCTTTGTTTACAGCTAACGTTAATGTTAGCAAAAACAATTAGACAATTAGACAGCCTACTGTAATGACATAACATTTGCTAATAAGTGCTTAATATATTAATCACATATGACTTTAATTAACTTACCTCAATGTGTTTCTTGAGGTTGGATGGTGAGTTTTTGAAAGCCAGTATTTCAGTGTCCTTCGGCAGGCATAGGAGGCACTGCATTCGGTATGAGGAATCCTTCACGCCAAGAAATGAAAACATCTCTTGCAGATATGGCCACGGGTGGTTATCTGAGTCTGCTGGAGACGTAGGTGTGAGTGGCCCAGCACCTGTGCTGCTAGATGACGGTGCAGCTTTCATGACAGAGCTTTGGCGAGGAGCCGCTTTCTTGCACCTGTTTACACCAGACAGGCCTGTGCGTGTACTGTAACCTGACGTCACTGGTTAGAAACCTACTTTACCGTGACTTTTTTTTTCCCCTTTTAATTTTGTAGTAAGTAACGGAAAGGCAGAGGTGGAAATGTATCGGAGTACACATTATATTTAGGAAATGTAGTTAAGTAAAAGTAAAAGTTCACAAAATTTTAAAAACTCAAGTAAAGTACAGATACTCCCAAAAATACTTAAGTAATGTAACGAAGTAGTAATACTTCGTTACATTACACCTCTGCATGAGGATTCCTGCT